CTGCTTATAACAAGCTTGTTGATATTATCAGACTTGTAGCAAGATTGTTCCAACAAGTCCGATACAGTCATGATATACAATATTGTACAAGTTGAGTAAACAGCTTGTAACAAGCTTGTTGATATTATCAGACTTGTAGCAAGATAGTTCCAACAAGTCATATAAATGCAGTCATGATATAACAATATTGTGCAAGCTGTTTAAACAGCTTGTAGCAAGCTTGTTGATATTATCAGACTTGTAGCAAGGTTGTTTCAACAAGTCTGATACATTCATGATATAACTATATTGTACAAGTTGATTAAACAGCTTGTAACAAGCTTGTTGATATTATCAGACTTGTAGCATGGCTGTTCCAACAAGTCTGATACAGTCATGATATAACAATATTGCACAAGTTGTTCAAACAGCTTGTAACAAGCTTGTTGATATTATCAGACTTGTAGCAAGGTTGTTCCAACAAGTCTCATAGAATCATGTTATAACAGTATTGTACAAGTTGTTTAAACAGCTTGTAACAAGCTTGTTGATATTATCAGACTTGTAGCAAGATTGTTCCAAAATGTCTGAAACATTCATGATATAACAGTATTGTACAAGTAACTTAAACAGCTTGTAACAAGCTTGTTGATATTATCAGACTTGTAGCAAGGTTGTTCCCACAAGTCTCATACAGTCATGATATAACAATATTGTACAAGTTGTTTAAACAGCTTGTAACAAGCTTGTTGATATTATTAGACTTGTAGCAAGGTTGTTCCCACAAGTCTCATACAGTCATGATATAACAATATTGTACAAGTTGATTAAATAGCTTGTAACAAGCTTGTTGATATTATCAGACTTGTAGCAAGGTTGTTCCAACAAGTCTGATACAGTCATGATATAACAATATTGCACAAGTTGATTAAACAGCTTGTAACAAGCTTGTTGATATTATCAGACTTGTAGCATGGTTGTTCCAACAAGTCTGATACAGTCATGATATAACAATATTGTACAAGTTCTTTAAACAGCTTGTAACAAGCTTGTTGATATTATCAGACTTGTAGCAAGGTTGTTCCAACAAGTCTGATACAGTCATGATATAACAATATTGTACAAGTTGATTAAACAGCTTGTAACAAGCTTGTTGATATTATCAGACTTGTAGCAAGGTTGTTCGAACAAGTCTAATACAATCATGATATAACAATATTGTAGCAGTTGATTAAAAAGCTTGTAACAAGCTTGTTGATATTATCAGACTTGTAGCAAGATTGTTCCAACAAGTCTGATACAGTCATGATATGACAATATTGTACAAGTTGATTAAACAGCTTGTAACAAGCTTGTTGATATTATCAGACTTGTAGCAAGGTTGTTCTAACAAGTCTGATACATTCATGATAAAACAATATTGTACAAGTTGATTAAACAGCTTGTAACAAGCTTGTTGATATTATCAGACTTGTAACAAGGTTGTTCCAACAAGTCTGATACAGTCACGATATACCAATATTGTACAATTTGTTTACACAGGTTGCAACAAGCTTGTTGATATTATCAGACTTGTAGCAAGGTTGTTCCAACAAGTCCGATACAGTCATGATATAACAATATTGTACAAGTTGATTAAACAGCTTGTAACAAGTTTGTTGATATTATCAGACTTGTAGCAAGGTTGTTCCAACAAGTCCGATACAGTCATGATATAACAATATTGTATACAAGTTGTTAACAGCTTGTAACAATCTTGTTGATATTATCAGACTTGTAGCAAGGTTGTTCCAACAAGTCTGATACAGTCATGATGTAACAATATTGTACAAGTTGTTAACAGCTTGTAACAAGGTTGTTGATATTATCAGACTTGTAGCAAGGTTGTTTCAACAAGTCTGATACAGTCATGATATAACAATATTGTATACAAGTTGTTAACAGCTTGTAACAAGCTTGTTGATATTATCAGACTTGTAGCAAGGTTGTTCCAACAAGTCTGATACAGTCATGATATAACAATATTGTACAAGTTGTTTAAACAGCTTGTAACAAGCTTGTTGATATTATCAGACTTGTAGCAAGGTTGTTCCAAGAAGTCCGATACATTCATGATATAACAATATTGTACAAGTTGTTAACAGCTTGTAACAAGCTTGTTGATATTATCAGACTTGTTGCAAGGTTGTTCCAACAAATCCGATACAGTCATGATATAACAATATTGTACAAGTTGTTAACAGCTTGTAACAAGCTTGTTGATATTATCAGACTTGTAGCAAGGTTGTTCCAACAAGTCTGATTCAGTCACGATATAACAATATTGTACAACTTGTTAACAGCTTGTAACAATCTTGTTGATATTATCAGACTTGTAGCAAGATTGTTTCAACAAGTCTGATACAGTCATGATATAACAATATTGTACAAGTTGTTAACAGCTTGTAACAATCTTGTTGATATTATCAGACTTGTAGCAAGATTGTTTCAACAAGTCTGATACAGTCATGATATAACAATATTGTACAAGTTGTTAACAGCTTGTAACAAGCTTGTTGATATTATCAGACTTGTAGCAAGGTTGTTCCAACAAGTCTGATACAGTCATGATATAACAATATTGTACAAGTTGTTAACAGCTTGTAACAATCTTGTTGATATTATCAGACTTGTAGCAAGATTGTTTCACCAAGTCTGATACAGTCATGATATAACAATATTGTACAAGTTGTTAACAGCTTGTAACAAGCTTGTTGATATTATCAGACTTGTAGCAAGATTGTTTCACCAAGTCTGATACAGTCATGATATAACAATATTGTACAAGTTGTTTAAACAGCTTGTAACAAACTTGTTGATATTATCAGACTTGTAAGCAAGGTTGTTCCAACAAGTCTGATACAGTCATGATATAACAATATTGTACAAGTTGATTAAACAGCTTGTAACAAGCTTGTTGATATTATCAGACTTGTAGCAAGGTTGTTCCAACAATCCCGATACAGTCATGATATAACAATATTGTATACAAGTTGTTAACAGCTTGTAACAAGCTTGTTGATATTATCAGACTTGTTGCAAGGTTGTTCCAACAAGTCCGATACAGTCATGATATAACAATATTGTATACAAGTTGTTAACAGCTTGTAACAATCTTGTTGATATTATCAGACTTGTAGCAAGGTTGTTCCAACAAGTCCGATACAATCATGATGTAACAATATTGCACAAGTTGTTAACAGCTTGTAACAAGCTTGTTGATATTATCAGACTTGTAGCAAGATTGTTTCAACAAGTCTGATACAGTCATGATATAACAATATTGTATCAAGTTGTTAACAGCTTGTAACAAGCTTGTTGATATTATCAGAGTTGTAGCAAGGTTGTTCTAACAAGTCCGATACATTCATGATATAACAATATTGTACAAGTTGTTAACAGCTTGTAACAAGCTTGTTGATATTATCAGACTTGTTGCAAGGTTGTTCCAACAAGTCCGATACAGTCATGATATAACAATATTGTACAAGTTGTTAACAGCCTGTAACAAGCTTGTTGATATTATCAGACTTGTAGTAAGATTGTTTCAACAAGTCTGATACAGTCATGATATAACAATATTGTACAAGTTGTTTAAACAGCTTGTAACAAGCTTGTTGATATTATCAGACTTGTAGCAAGGTTATTCCAACAAGTCCGACACATTCATGATATAACAATATTGTACAAGTTGTTAACAAGTTGTAACAAGCTTGTTGATATTATCAGACTTGTTGCAAGGTTGTTCCAACAAGTCTGATACAGTCATGATATAACAATATTGTACAAGTTGTTAACAGCTTGTAACAAGCTTGTTGATATTATCAGACTTGTAGTAAGATTGTTTCAACAAGTCTGATACAGTCATGATATAACAATATTGTACAAGTTGTTTAAACAGCTTGTAACAAGCTTGTTGATATTATCAGACTTGTAGCAAGGTTGTTCCAACAAGTCCGATACAGTCATGATATAACAATATTGCATACAAGTTGTTAACAGCTTGTAACAAGCTTGTTGATATTATCAGACTTGTAGCAAGGTTGTCCCAAGAAGTCTGATACAGTCATGATATAACAATATTGTACAAGTTGTTTAAACAGCTTGTAACAAGCTTGTTGATATTATCAGACTTGTAGCAAGGTTGTTCCAACAAGTCTGATACAGTCATGATATAACAATATTGTACAAGTTCTTAACAGCTTGTAACAAGGTTGTTGATATTATCAGACTTGTAGCAAGGTTGTTCCAACAAGTCTGATACAGTCATGATATAACAATATTGTACAAGTTCTTAACAGCTTAGTAACAAGGTTGTTGATATTATCAGACTTGTAGCAAGGTTGTTCCAACAAGTCTGATACAGTCATATTATATAAAGTATAGTCAGTGCTTTATAGAGATTTCGAGCACTGATAAAACTGATAATCGCACATGTGAGATTATTTATGATAATTTCACATGTAAAAAGTATTGCTTTTGATGCTTGTTGTTCATGTTTTTCTTCTTTGAAAATTTTCAATCATCTGCAACACTCAATTTCATCATGTTCAACACTCAAAATAAATCTGGTATTTCCGCGCGCCCATGTATTATTCTCTATTTCATGCAACATCCATAATTACCGATTTTATAAAGAAGTCATAATGTCAGTCGACCAAGTAAAGGTGATGTTACTACAACCAAAGTTTGTTAAAACCATTCATAAATGGCACGCTTCAGACATTAATTTTATTGCTGCGACACATTGCAATTAAAAATCGTTCCATGTATAAACATTGTCTCAGAGGACTTGACATGCTTTTAATCTTCGGCACTAGTTAATGGCTTGATTTGTACCCTAAATGGAATGGATGAGCCATCTGGATGAGCTTGGACAAAGGATCGATAATTCTTTCCTGATAACAGGGAATTCAGAATTAACCCAATGAGTGCTAGCACTCTCTCGTTGACGAGTAAAATTGTCTGGCATTAGACAGAGTAAGTAGGATGCATTATTAAAGGTTTAACTTTATTTTATTCTGTCATTTCAGGAGATAATGGAGGATGTGTTGTCAATGCTAAGTAGTTATATAACAGACAGCGATTCCTCTTCATGTCATCAGGATATCGCTGATACAGTTTGTGTTTTGGCTTTATGTGGCTGGAATACCAGGTGAGAAAGAAAATACATTTCTGCCATTTCTGAGATTCAATTCCTGTGATATGCAGTTGTCTATTAGGTAGTTTAGTTTAGGTTTCCTCTTGTAGTAACACTGGATCAATAAGGGATGAACCTTACTGGACCTCTAGGAAGAACAGTTTAGAACTGATAGAGCTATCCAGTATAAATAAAGTTAGTTTAGTTTAGGTTTCCTCCTGTAGTATTAACACTGGATCAATAAGGAATGATTCTTACTGGACCTTTAGGAAGAACAGTTTAGAACTGATAGAGCTATCCAGTATAAATAAAGTTAGTTTAGTTTAGGTTTCCTCCTGTAGTAACACTTTATCAATAAGAGATGATCCTTACTGGACCTCTAGGAAGAACAGTTTAGAACTGATAGAGCTATCCAGTATAAATAAAGTTAGTTTAGTTTAGGTTTCCTCTTGTGGTAACACTGGATCAATAAGGGATGAACCTTATTTGATCTCTAGGGAGAACAGTTTAGATCAAATTAGTCTGATAGAGTTATCCAGGCAGTATAAATGAAGATTATGAAGGTAGTTTAGTTTAGGTTTCCTCTTGTAGTAACACTGGATCAATAAGGGATGAACCTTACTGGACCTCTAGGAAGAACAGTTTAGAACTGATAGAGCTATCGGCAGTATAAATAAAGTTAGTTTAGTTTAGGTTTCCTCCTGTAGTATTAACACTGAGCTATCCAGTATGAATAAAATTACTTTAGTTTAGGTTTCCTCCTGTAGTAACACTTTATCAATAAGAGATGATCCTTACTGGACCTCTAGGAAGAACAGTTTAGAACTGATAGAGCTATCCAGTATAAATAAAGTTAGTTTAGTTTAGGTTTCCTCTTGTGGTAACACTGGATCAATAAGGGATGAACCTTATTTGATCTCTAGGGAGAACAGTTTAGATCAAATTAGTCTGATAGAGTTATCCAGGCAGTATAAATGAAGATGCTATCCAGTATAAATAAAGTTAGTTTAGTTTAGGTTTCCTCTTGTGGTAACACTGGATCAATAAGGGATGAACCTTACTGGATCTCTAGGAAGAACAGTTTAGAACTGATAGAGCTATCCAGTATAAACACAGATTATGAAGGTAGTTTAGTTTAGGTTTCCTCTTGTAGTAACACTGGATCAATAAGAGATGATCCTTCCTGGATCTCTAGGAAGAACAGTTTAGAACTGATGGAGCTATTAGCTTGCTATCCCTCAGTATGAATAAAATTACTTTAGTTTAGGTTTCCTCCTGCAGTAAAACTGGATCAATAAGAGATGATCCTTACTGGACCTCTAGGAAGAACAGTTTAGAACTGATAGAGCTATCCAGTATAAATAAAGTTAGTTCCAGTTTAGGTTTCCTCCTGTAATAACTATTCTGTATTTTATAAACAGCGACAGTTCAGGCATACTATGTTGTACTGCCTGCCACCGTGAAGCTGGCTTGTGGAATTTTCATTCACTGAAGAATGTTACTTTGATCAACAACGATGGTGGAATGCAGGGTGTTCAGGAGGTTGTGAGGGCTACCGATGGACAGCATGGGTCACCAGGGGTAATGGAGGAAGATAAACCAGGTAGGGTATTGATCAAGATTGTAGAAATTCAATGTGAAAATTGACTTAAATTATGGACGTTATTATTGAGACAACTATACAATTTCATTTGTGTTATTATTAATTCTATACAGGGGAAGTCGCAGCCGTACACGATAATGACGAGATACAAAGAGGTGGTGAAAGTACGCAAGAGGACATGTTATGTGATGTTGGGATCGTAAGGGATGAAGATAGTTTAAAAGCTGAACAGTTACCGAGTAACACTGAATCTGGAAATGATGAACAGGAACTTACTGGGACGCAAGAGGTCATTATGGATAATGATGAGTATACTGCAGCTGATACTGAATGTGAGAACAGAGTAACTGGGGATATTTTGGTACATGATGTGAACGAAAGTGACACAGAAAGTGAAAATTTTGAGGTAGTAGGGACACTGGCCAGTGAAGAGAATCAAAATATAGAAGTATCGAGGATTTCTCCCTTACATGAAAACACTTTAGAAGAAATGCAAGATGGAAACCAAATTTCCAGCCAAACTGTCACATCTGAACCCTTTACTTTGAACAATGCTGCTGGAGAAATTCCAAAAACCGAGAACGAAGACTCCTTTGAAAGTACTTCAAAACAAATTGAATTCCAAGTGAAAACTGAATCACAGCCAGTAGAAATTACATCCTCGGAACAAAAACCCCTGCTACCGGAACAAAGTACCCTACTATTGGAACAAAAACCCCTACTACCGGAAGAAAGTACCCTACTATCGGAACAAGATACCCTACTATCGGAACAAAGTGCCCCATTATTGGAACAATGTTCCCAATTATCGGAACAAAGTACAGCTTCTGAGCAAACGTCACTATCGGAAGAATTCTTACCGGAACAAGAACCCTTACCGGAAGAGGAGCGCCTACAGGAACAAGAACCCTTACAGGAACAAGAACCCCTACAGGAACAAGAACCCCTACAGGAACAAGAACCCCTATCGGAAGAAGAACCGTTATCGGAACAAGGCACTCTGCAGGAACACGAAATCGTATCCCAGCCAGGGACTAGTCAGACAACCCAACCCCCCAGTTTTATTGGAAATGAATATACTACTGATAGTAACATTGAACCTGACCAAGGGGGTTGTGAACCAGGTCCTGGTGTGTCTACAGAGCCGTCAAGATTTTTTAGCGCAGGATTTTTTTCTCCTGCTCACAGTAGACAAGATTCGTTAATTGTTGAATTAGGAGAGGACTCTATGAGTGAGCGACTGCAGTCTATTCAATCAGATCTGCTGGACAGGGGGGAGACGGCCTCCCAAATGGACTCGTGTCGATCATTGTCCGAATGGAGCGACGGTGACGTTGGTGAACCCAGTTCAAAGAGATTGAAAACAGATGATGTAAGTTTGTTTTTTCATTTTATTTTCGTTTGATCAAGCAATGAAAGTTGAGAAAACTCTCATGTAAACTCTCGCTTGTCAACTCTCGTACAATTCTTGTTCTCGTTTGGTCAAGCAATGAAAATTGAGAAAACTCTCGACATGTAAACTCTCGCTTCTCAACTCTCGTACAACTCTTGTTCTCGTTTGATCAAGCAATGAAAGTTGAGAAAACTCTCGACATGTAAACTCTCGCTTCTCGAGCTCAACTCTCATGCAACTGTTGTTCTCGTTTGATCGGGCATACCCTGGTTCCAGAGGTTTATTTTTATAAAATAATAAAAATAAACCTCTGGAATCAGCGTAGATCAGCAATGAAAGTTGAGAAAACTCTCATGTAAACACTCGCTTCTCAACTTTTATGCAATTCTTATTCTCGTTTGATGAAGCAATGAAAATTGATGAAACTCTCATGATGTAAACTCTCGCTCGTCAACTCTCATGCAACTCTTGTTCTCGTTTAATCAAGCAATGAAGGTTGAGGAAACTCTCATGCAAACTCTCGCTTCTCAACTCTAATAAAACTGAATCAAACGAGAATTGACAAGGAGAGTTTACATGAGAGTTTAATAAACTTTATGCCTCTCATACAAACTCGCTGGACACTAAGTAATTCATTGAATGTAATTTTTCTTCCCAACATCTTCAGGACATAGAAAAGATAGAGTTTGACGTCTTAGCAGAGCATCGTAATTGGTGTCCATGGGTGACAGCTGTGCCCAGTGCAAGAAATACGACAGAAAATATCCAGAAATCGCCTGGATGGCAGATCTTACTTGAACAATTAATTCAATCCCCACCGCCTGGAAAACAGCCTGTAGCGAAACAGGTGAGATACGATTTTATTTCTTTTGATGTGGTGTTACAGTAAAACCCCGCATATAAGAACCTACACACGTAAAAATCTCACAACTTGTCAACAAGATGTGTTCGCAACAGGCTTGTAGCAAGCTTGTCAACGATTTGTAACAATGCTGTTATTTTATCAAGTTACTACACAAGGTTGTCACTCACAATTTGTTGACAAATTGTTGAATTGCAGGATGATAACAAGTTGTTGGAACAACTTGTAACAAGTCTGTTGAGCTCAACAACCTTATAGCAAGTTGACAACAAGCAGTGCGAACACATCCTGTTGACAAGTTGTTGCAACAGCATTGCTACAAGTCTGCTGCAGGTTTGTTGTACGTGTGTAGAATTTTCCAAGTTATCCTAAACAGCGACTCGTTTTAGGGAGGTAAGGTATACGATTTAAAAACAGTAAATTATGCACAAATTAGGTTCTTATATGCGCGGTGTTACTGAATTGTGTGTTTCAATGTTTCAAAATCAGTTTCTCAAATGTGTTTATATTTTTAGACACCACCCACCCAAGTATGGAAATCAGTCCGTCGTCTATTTCACGACTGTCAGACTACGATCATGCGCAGTACGAAATCACATGTCCTTGAAGGAAAAGTTTGATCGAATTGGAAACACTGAAAGAATCGTTTAAAGTTTACTGGAATATCTTAACCAACTCGAGATCAGTCTAGTTGTGACACAGAGTAATTTACATACAGAGGTCTCGCTTCGCGAAAAAATCGTAAGGTATTTTACTGCGCGTGTCTGGCGGCCATGTTCTTAGCAAAAGTTCTTAGCATTCACCCCCCTGGAACATTAAATTTCAATATGTTTTCAGGGGGGCGACGCCCTCTCTTTAGGGCACTTGCTAAGAACATGGGCCATGGCGAACTGGAAAAATTCCTTACACTAAATTAACCTGAAGTGAGACCTCTGTACGTAAGTATTCTGTGGAGGTGATCTGGAAACTCGACCAAGGCCAAAGGCAATGCTTTTACTACGCACGCCAAAATTTGCGAAAATAGTATTCTAATTAAAAAACGACCCATCTTATGAGTTCATTGGCGAAGTAATTTTAAAAATCAACGTTGTCTAAGCCGAGAAAATCATTTATGTAAATGAACATGATTTATATCACAAATGAAACCACCGTGAATTATTAATGAGTTTTTTAATCAAAAACACTTTAGCGTTTGCCAAGTTTCCAGACCCTATCTCGACTGACTGACTTTTTTTTTAACATGCTATTTTATCCAAAGCAAAGCTAAACATATATATTTTATTTGACATTTATTTTAGTTCATATTAAAAGGCAGTTTTTTCAATGACAGTGTCGCGTATTTGCGGCGAAAAAGTGTTTTAAAACGTAAAATCTTTTTGGCGTTCCTCTCAAAATTACTTTGTTTTAATTCTATTTTGTAGTTTACACAGTTAGCAACCTTTTTAAACCAATTTGCGTGTGTAATTCTCAGCAACTTATACCACCAACTATACACGCGTGAAAATCTCGCATCTTGTAGCAAGTCTGCCAACAAGCCGTCAACAAGTTGTGTTCGCACTGCTTGTCCCAAGTTGTCAACAAGTATGGAACAAGCTGTTGACAACTTGTAACAACCTCGTTAATATTATCAGACTTGTTGCAAATGAAGGTTTTTCCAACGAGTCCGATACAGTCATGATATAACAATATTGTTACAACCTTGTGTCGTCAACCTTGTAACATTCTTGTTATATCATGACTGTATCAGACTTGTTACAACAACCTTGTAACAAGTCTGACAATGCCATCAAGCTTGTTACAAGTTGTTATTAGCTTGTTCCAAACTTGTTACAACAACTGGGAACAAGCAGTGCGAACACAACTTGTTGACAGCTTGTGTAGTACATCTTATAAGATGGCTGTTGTAATAATAATACTCTTATCTTTTTAAAATTATATATGTGCTTCTAAATATAAGACATATAGAACTGTATTTCGCATTAACTTTTTTAAGACTCTTGTAAGAACTTTTTATCAAATTTTCAACGGAATTTTCCAGGCAGGGACGTAGCGACGACTTTGTCGTTGGGAGGGGGGTTATAGCGAACGATTGCCTGAAATTATTCATGAACAAATATTGAGAGGGGGGTGTTGCACCCCCGTTCTGTTCATCTTCAGATATGTTCATCCTTAGATGCCAGCGACGGCATATGTGTTATAATTTATGGCATAAATTATTACGCGGTCACATTACAGAGGTCTCGGCACTACTGGGGAAAAGATTTCGAAATTTACATATTTTTGTGACTTTGTGTCAACTTGGGTATATTTCCTGGTTTTCTGTTCAATCGAAAGCTTGTTTTCGCTTCAAAGTTAGTTTAAAATGTCCCATCAAACTGGAATCATAGGTAAGCGACATAAAGTTGAATGATCTATTGTTTTTAAACGGTGATCAAAGTTTGTTTATGCTACTTGTTTTAGTGACAAGTTGTTACACACTCCCTACTTTGTTTTGTCTTGAAATATTTCACCGTTTTAGGAATATATTTGTTGGTTTCAGCATGCAATACACGCCCGGCATACTTAATCGATGAAATCGATAATCGATGAGTATCAATATTTATTAATCGATTGATATTGGAAATCGGTGAATAATCAATGGCTTGTTTTGCTGTGACCTTTCATTGATTGATTATCGATTTTTTATTGATTTTCATTGATGAATACGTACTATTAATTAATACATACTTTAATGTCGTAACAAAACAAATGTGAACGTAATTCAGTAACAATGGATTAAATTAAGTTTTTATCCTTTTATACAGATCAAATACATTTGTACCTTCGATTGGCACAGATTTACTTTTGCAAGCAATACACTTGCCAATAATTATCGATAAATATGGACAAAAATTGATGAATATATTGATAACAATCGATAAAATTGGCCATAACTTTTTGTGACTATTGATTGATCATATTGATTGACCAATACGTCAATTGATATCAATTAAGTAATTAATATCCATTGCCATTGATTGGATTTCCGATGATTGGTTTCCATCGATTAAGTACGCCGGGGATACACGGCAGCAGATGATGGCCAATGTCAGAAATATTAGACCAACTTATAATATCACACAAATGAAGCTAAAGTATATATCTCAATTCTGTTTGTTTGCAACCAAATGACACAAACAGTTGGTTGACGTTTTTGTGATACACAGAATTGTTGAGATATAAAGTGTTATCTGTTAAGCCAAAGTTAAGACTGATCACACTTACTGAGTCAATTCTAACATGATTTTTTGTTTATTTTAGCCAATGAGGAACTACGTGAAGCATTTGCATCGTCAAAGGACGGCTCAGTACGAGTTATAAAAATATCTATAGATAAAGGTATGTTATAACCGGTAAAATAAATAACTATTCACCTTTTAGACACTTGCTTTAACCCATTGCAGCACTCTCCCCCTGACGAGTAAAATTGTCTGGCATTAAACAGAGTAAAATAATACGCCTAGATGCGTCCTGCATCTGGGCGTATTGCCACTTAAAGGGTTAACAGGGTGCATGGGCAGATAGTTTGATTAATTTTAACCCAATGAGTGGCAGCACTCTCCCCCTGACAAGTGAAATTGTCTGGTGTTAGACAGAGTAAAATAATAAAGTAGGATGTACAACATGGCAGGCCACTTTAGAAATAGAATCTCTATTCCTTCAATAAGTGCATACCTGAGCTAATCTACCTGGTAGACCAGGTGCTATATAACGTGTTTATACAAAAGTATTCCAGATGCATTTACAGGCACGCAGAGAAAGATGGGACCAATATGTGTACATCCCATCGCTCTCTGCGCACCTGTAAGCACCATGAATCTAGAATACTTTACATGCAGGTATGTAAGCATTTCATACATAGCACCTGAGGACAAAATTAAGCAGCTACAGTAGCTAATACTAATTAATCAAAACTGAACTATAAATCATCACAACTGACAGTTGATTGTTTTATTTCTGTGTTTGCAGAAGAGTTAGTATTTGCTGAAAGTGCCTCTCCCATGGATAACTGGATAGATGATATCCTTTGAACTAAGACATTGAATATGAATTTAATTAGTTACTATAATCTACAGTAGTCAATCCATTAAGCGCCAGTGCTCTTCCCTTGATGAGTAAAATCGTCTGGCGTTAGACAGAGTAAAATAATAATTGTAGGGTGCATCAGGTGGCAATGCAACACAATGGGTTAATACAGTCAGTTGTACAAACTAAGACCTTTTACATCTAATATTGACGTAGAGTATTGGGAGCTTTCTGGAGGCATTGCCTAGCAGCTTTATAGCCTCATACCCAGTAGACTTGCTCCAAGTCTTTCTTTCATTGTCACATCGATCTACTATGTACAGTGTACATTACATGACGTAGCATGGAGAGGCGGAGCGAGAAAGAGAGACTTGTCAACTTTGGAAAATCTTGGTTCAAAACTGAACCGAAAATGCAAGACTTGCTTTAATTGTTTTCCTTCAATTTCTTTCTGTATCATTTACTATAATGGAACTCATGTTATTTACACTGTGCTAGATCAATATATATAAACACTGACAGAAAACAATTAAAGCAAGTCTTGCATTTTCGGTTCAGTTTTGAACCAAGATTTTCCGAAGTTGACAAGTCTCTCTTTCTCGCTCCTCTGTGCTACA